TTAGCCCAATGGGTAGAAGAGATGAAGCAGAGGGCGGAGGAAGTGTCCCAGGAAGAAGGAAGAAATTTTCACCTCCTGGAGAGCTCACTCCATTCAAGCCAGTGCAAATCAGTTCTGCTGTCTGGATCCAGTGAGATGGGGTGGGAGTGGTAACTGGTGATAAGAGCTCCCCTGAGGGCCTCGGGGTGGCCCGAAAGAGAGTGCCATGAACTCATCTGTGCTTTCGAAGGTCACCGCAATGCCCGGAGGGAGCAGGCAAGGCCAGAGCGGACAGACTATGACATTTTGTAATCATTCCGGTGTGAGGGCAGGGCGGCCTCGACTAGGGTGGTGGGAATGGCGTCAAAGGAATAGGTTCCAGAATTACTGAAGAGTCAAAGTGACAGGAGCTGGTCCTTGTCCTCAGGTATCTTACGTTAGATGCATGAAAGATACTTGTAGACCCGGCAAGACAGGCAACATGGAGCAAGAGGTGCCGGAGGGGTACAGAGGGGGCGGTTCAGCAAAGGCTGGTGCTGGGGTGGGGCCAGGCCACAGGTAGCGGCTGCTGCTCGGGGTATTGGTGGTGGTCTGGGAGCCACGGGGCAGGGCACGGACTTGTTGCAGGAAGGGGGAGCCCCTGCCAGGGCCTGAAAGGGGGCTTTTGTCTAACACTCGGAAATGAGTTGTCCGAGGAGACACACTGACAAAGCAAGAGATTTTACTGGGAAGGGGCGCCCGGGTGGAGAGCCGGAGGGCAAGGGAACCCAGGAGAGCTGCGCTGCGATGTGGCTCACAGTCTTGGGTGTTATGGTGTTGGGATTAGTTTCTGGATTTTCTTTGGCCAATCATTTTGACTCAGGGTCCTTCCTGGTGGTGCACGTATTGCTCAACTAAGATGCTTGCCAGCTAGAAGGATTCTGGGAGGTGGCAGGACACATGGCATCTCCTTTGGACCCTTCCTGAACTGTTCTGATTGGCAGTGGCTTGTTAGTTTCCTCTTCCTCACTGGGACTTCCTGTTGTAAAATAACTCACAGGAATGCTCACTATGGTACCTGGCGAGGGTGGGCGGTTTCAGTCAGTATGTTTCCCTTAGCAGATTGACGCTGTCCTCAGGATCCCAGCAGGGTCCCATTTGATGACACAGGTTGCAGAGATCTTCATGGGTCCCTGAGAGGAAGGGAAGCAGTGGAAATGACAGGGAGGAGGAAGCAGTCCTGCGAAGGTGATTGCCATGGGAAGGAGCTGGAGCCCAGAAAGGCAGATGTGCTGGTCTGGCCCCAGGGGAGGAAGAGGAGGAGGAATGGGCAGGAGAAATTTCGCAGGAAGTGACTTGGCCGATGGAGGGAAGCAATCCTTCGCAGCTCAGGGGATCAGGCTGCAGCAGTGGCCCTATGAAAACAGGGTGGCTGGACCCAGAGCAATTTGGCACCCAGTGCAATGAAATCATTTCGATGGCCAACCTTTCCTCAGTGACTGCTGCAGTCAGACCCAAAGCCAGGCGGCAGGCAGACATCACGATGCCACTTCACCCCCACTGTCACCACCGTTCACGTTGCAGACCCCCATTTTACAGAGGAGGCAAAGACATTCACCCAGGTGCACAAATGATATGAAGCTTTGTTAATACCTCGAGTCGACGGTGTGAGTTAGGGGTAACTATGAACCAGGAATGACAGAAAGTCAAGAGGAACTAAAGAGCCTCTTGATGAAGGTGAAAGAGGAGAGTGAAAAGGCTGTCTTAAAACTCAGCATTCCAAAAACTAAGATCATGGCATCTGGTCCCATCACTTTATGGGAAATAGATGGGAAACAATAGAAACAGTGACAGATTTTATTTTCTTGGGCTTCAAAATCACTGCAGACAGTGATTGCAGCCATGAAATTAAAACACACTTGCTCCTTGGAAGAAAAGTTATGACAAACCCTGACAGCATATTAAAAAGCAGAGACATTACTTTGCCGACAAAGGTCCATCTAGTCAAAGCTGTGGTTTTTCCAGTAGTCACGTATGGATGTGTCAACCATAAAAAAGAATTGATGCGTTTGAACTGTGGTGTTGGAGAAGACTCTTGAGAGTTCCCTGGACTGCAAGATCAAATCAGTCAATCCTAAAGGAAATCAACCCTGAATATTCATTGGAAGGACTGATGCTGAAGCTGAAGCTCCAATACTTTGGCCACCTGTTGAGAAAAGCCGATTCACTGGAAAAGACTCCGATGCTGGGAAAGATTGAGGGCAGGAGGAAAAGGGGGCAATAGAGGATGAGATGATTGGATGGCGTCACCGATTCAATGGACATGAGTTTGAGCAGACTCCTGGAGATAGTGAAGGACAGCAAAGTGTGGCATGCTGCAGTCCATGGGGTTGCAAAGAGTCAGACACTACTGAACAACTGAACAACAACAACAAATGAACCAGGATGTGGCTTCCCAGGTGGCACTAGTGGTAAAGAACCCACATGCCAATGCAGGAGACATAAGAGACCAAGGTATAATCCCTGGGTCAGGAAGATCCCTGAAAACCCTCTCTAGTATTCTTGCTTGGAGAATCCCATGGAGAGAGGAGCCTAGGGGGCTACAGTCCATATGGTCGCAAAGAGACAGACACGACTGAAGTGACTTAGCACACCTGCATGCATGAACCAGGAATGTGTGCAGACAACATTAGACAGTGCCTGAGAGTGAGCATTTCCCAAGTGTTTCTTGTGACTATCACATGCCAGACACAGTATCAGGCCCTGGAGATTCTGTGGTTAACAAAACATGAGGTTCCTGCCCCCATGGACCTTAGCGTCCTGTCAGGGAGAGTGACAAGAAACAAAGATGTGAGTTAATCTAGAAGGCAGATCGCAGGAAGCAGGGCTAGGAAGGGAAACGGACTCCAAATTACAAAGCCGCCAGTCTGACCCTAAGGCCCAGGACCCTGGACCACAGAGAATGAAGGCATCAGTGGTTGGGGGCTGGGTTCTCCAGTTGGCTCGGAGGCAGTACGAGCCAGGGGCAACCCCAGGCCACAGTTTCCTCACCAGAAGAAGCAGAGTCAGGTTAGAGCGGCAGCTCTCAAACTGTCTTAGCTGAGGAACCTCTTATTCAAACACGATCTTAACCAGAAGCCAAGTCCAATAGGCAAACAAATGTAAGTACAGCTTGAGGACAGAACTGCCCCCTCTTTCCCTCCGGATCCTCAGTAGCTCCAAAGGAATCTCACAGATTTCCCAGGGCTCCAGGAGCCCACTCTCGAAACCGTGGGATTGTAACACGCTTACCATTAAACCGGCACTTACTAAGAGCTGCATGCACACGGTCTCATTCCGTTCTCTCAACAAACCTATGAAGTCATCATTTCACCAGTGAGGAATCTGAGGCTTAGAGGGGTTAACAACGTTAGCCAAACTCCAGCCTCCTGGCTCCCACCCCTGACCACCGCCCCCACCCCCCCCATTCACACCCATACATACACACCTTCTTTCTTTAGATCACAGGAACCCATTTCTCATCCCCAGCCTCGGCACACACTTTTCTATTCTCCTATGGTGTTAGTTCCCTATTGCTGCTATAACAGACTTCCACACACTAGAGGCTTAAAGTAACACAAATTTATCAGCTTACAGTTCTGGGGTCAGAAGTCCAAGACGGGTAGGCAAAGCTTCCTTCCTTCTAGAGGCTCTAGGGTAGAATTCACTTCCTTTCCTTTTCCAGTTTCCAGAGGTTTCCATGGCTCACAGCCCCCTTCCAGCAACGCCATCACTCTGACCTCTCCTTTTATTGTCATATCTTCTCTGACCCTCTGCCTCCTCCTTATAAGGACACCTGTGATTACATTGGGCCCACACTGATAATCCAGGAGAATCTCCCATTTTAAGATCCTTAACTGGAGGGAATTCCCTGGTGGTCCAGTGGTTAGGACTTGGGGCTTTCACTGCCACGACCCAGGTTCGATCCCTGGTCAGGGAACTAAGATCCTGCAAGCTGCACAGTATGGCCAAAAAACAAAACAAAACAAAACAAAAAACCCTTAAATGAATCACATCTCTCTTGCTATGTAAGGGAACATATTCACAGATTCTAGGGATTAGAACATGGACATCTTTGGGGGCCATTATTCAGCCAGCCACATCTTGTAACTCCACTCATCCCTCAGATCTGAGCCTGAAGGTCATGTCCTCAAGGAAGCCGCCCTGACCCTTCTGATAAGACCATCCTCGGTGTGGTTCTCAGAGCTGGCTAGATCTCTCCCCCTCACTTTGCTTGTCACAGTCATAATTTAGCATTTGTTTGGATAGTATTTGAGTCTAACTAAACATTAAGAGTGCTGTGTTGTTCTGAGTCGCTCAGTCATGTCCGACTCTTTGTGACCCCATGGGCTGCAGCCTGCCAGGCTCCTCTGTCCACGGGGATTCTCCAGGCAAGAATACTGGAGGGGGTTACCATGCCCTCCTCCAGGGGATCTTCCCAACCCAGAGACAGAACCCAGGTCTCCCGCATAGCAGGCGGATTCTTTACCATCTGAACCACCAGGGAAGCCCAAGAATACTGGAGTGAGTGGCCTATCCCTTCTCCAGGGGCTCTTCCCAACCCTGGAATTGAACTGGGGTCTCCTGCACTGCAGGTGGATTCTTTACCAGCTGAGCTACCAGGGAAGCCCAAACATCAAGAGTGTGGAGAGTCTTTTTGTGTTTCTGTTTGTATTTTCAGCAGAATTTGGTACACAGTTGGGGCTCAATTAACACCTTAAATAAATTAATGAACAAATAGATGAACTTGCCTGAGGTCACAGCAGCAAGTAGCAGAGGCAGGATCTGAACTTGGGCAGCGGGTTCCCAGAGTCCTATATCCTTAGCCTTGCACAAGCTTGCCTCTCACAGACCTACGGTAGCCCAGGCTCAGGGGGTGTGGTTATGTCTTCTCAGCAACATCCCCCAGGTACTGGTTGCCTGGCCAACCCAAACTCAACCCCTCCACCCTCTCCCAGCCCCCACGCCCCTCCAGTCTGACCTTCTGTGATTTAGGACTTGAATCATAGGAGGTAGGACAAGAAGTTCTGTGAATGCTGGCCGTGTGGGATTGGGGACCGTGGGTAGCCAAGGCCCCAGGGGCCACAGTGGTGGCAGGTGGCGCCAGGCCACCAGGAGGAGAGCCCTCCAGAGGAGGCAGTGGGCACCCGTTGGGGTAAGAGCCGAGGGCAGCGCCCTGGACACTCCCACGACGAGAAGCCGGGAGGAGACCACACCGGCCAGCAAGGAAACGAGCTGTCAGAAATCCAGAGGAGACGTGGGAAAGTGCGGTGTCATGGAAACCACGGAGCGAGCGTGTCCACTGGTTCTGGAAGAGGCGGCTGTCGAAGCATCAGGCGGCACCGCGGGGCGGGAGTGGGAGGCCCGGGGCCACCTGTCCTCCAGCTCTGACGCCCTTCAGCAGGGTGACTTCAGCAAACTGCATGGGAGCCGAAGCATCAGGCAGAGGCTGAGTGGGCGCTTCAAGGATTCAGGAGGAAACCAGCCGAGACCACACATTTCCGGATCTGGCAGGGAGAGAGGGGGGCGGTTGCTAGGAGCGGCGCTGCGGACCTGGGGAGCCCGCACGTGGGTTTGCAGGCACCTGGGCAGAGCCTGGGAGGAAGCGTGAGGAAGCTGGGGGAAGGGCACACCGCTGGGCTGGGACCGTCCGGGGATGAGTCAGCGCCCACGTGGCTTGTGGCTCTGGGCCGGCCTCACCCTGGCGTCTCCGCTAGGGCCTGGGAGCTAAGCTTTCTCCCGCCAAGTTCACCCTGGGGTTGCTTTGGAGGGGACCCTGGAGACCCAGGGCTGGGGCCACTGAATGCAGGACCTCTGCACAGCCTCCTACGCACAGGCCAAGGCCTCCCTGAGCCTCAGAGGGCTTCCTGCCCTGGGTGGGGAGTCCAGTGTGAAACCACCTGGGAGGGACTGAACCGAGGAGCTTAGTCCCCCTCCGATCCCACTTCTCCAAAAGGTTCTAGAAAACTGCCTTCCCAACCCCAAGGGACCTGACAACTACCTTTTGAAGATGTGGAGTCCAATTTTGTACTTTGGACCCCTTGAGCAAGCTGATGAAGCCTATGGATCTTTTCTCAGAGTAAGTGTGTAAAATATTAATGAAACCAATTATGTTGAATATTATATATATATATATATATATATTTAAAACTGAACCTATAATATCATAACATACATGCTTCTTTATCAAATGCACCAAAGTACAACATCTGGCAATCGGTCATGATTTTAGAGCTATTGTTAAGTTGCTAAGTCTTGTCTGACTCTTTGTGACCCCGTGGACTACAGCACGCCAGGCATCCCTACCCTGCACTGTCTCCTGGAGTTTGTTCAAATGTATGTCCAATTAGTTGGTGATGCTATCTAACCACCTCATCCTCTGCCACCCTCTGATTTGAGCAGTGATGAGCATAAATGACGTTCGGAGCTATCTATGAAAGTCTAATGTGATATGAAATTGTCTGTAATTTCTTCTAGTGACAGAGTCACAGATCCCATTGCTACCGTGGTCTCTGCCTATGGTCCTAATGGAAGGAAATGTTCAGTGTTTGGTAGGGGTTAGTGAAAATCAAGGTGGCATTTTTACCCATCTAAGTCCTTGGATCCCCTGAATTATATCCATGACCTTCAAAAAGTTAAGAGCTTCAGTTCTGTAGCAAGAGTCAGAATCCCCAGTGCTTACAGGGTGCAGACAGGCGGCTGCTGTACATGGCTGTAGGCCTGGTGACCTGGAGACCACACACCTCTTTAGGGGCAGCAGCACTGCTGGGATCCTGGAACAGTAAGGTCAATATCACCTAATCTTCACCTTTTAAAGAGATGCCAGAAACACTAATTATTTTGTGAACCCTTCTCATTTTAAATGTTAGCCCCAAATTGACATTTTTAAGGATACTCTGGGGCCAAACATAACACAAGTGCTGGCCTGATGCAGCCTGGAAACCCTGGATTTGGGATTCCCGCTGGATGGGGTTCTTGGTGGAATGTGGACGTCACCCTCTGGGTCTCCAGTCTTCCCATGAGAGGCCTGTTGGAGCACACGTAACTCACAGCTCCAGGCTAAAAATGTTCTAGGCAATAACCCCAATCCACAGTAAATTACCACATCAAACCTACTAATTGTCAAGTATGCCACCTCACAGGCTCTGCTTCCCTCCTTTGGGCCTGCCCTGGGGACTGATGGGATCAGGGCTCTGTCCCTTCCTGCCCACCTCCCCACCCCACCCCCCCAACATCCCCACCATGCCTTATTCCATGAAGGGAGCTGGATCTAGAGCCAGATTCCCTAAGTTTCAGCCTTAGCTCCGCCACTTATTGGTCCAGTGACTTTGAGAAGTCATGCATCTTTCTCACCCCCCACAGGGCTGTGACTACACAAATGGTTTGGTGGGACAACGGCACTTGTAAGTTGCAGGACGCATCTACATGCAAGGGAGTTCTGGCTCTCCCCACCTGGCTTCTTATTATCCTCTACTCTGGTCAGCTGAGTCCCTGTGGGGTGAGGGTCTAAGACACAAAGGAAACCATGTGTGTCCCCAAATGCCACCCTCTAGGCAGTACCTGTGAAATACAGGAGTGTGTGCAAGGCTATTGTGACTAACTCGAAGGATGATCCATTTGGGAGGGCCCAGGGGCCAACGCTGACCCCAGTATTTTTCTCTGGCAGCAGTGAAATCTGGTGTTTTGCAGATAGAAGAGGAGAACGAAGAAACTCTGCAGGCCTCGGGGAGGGCTTCTTTCATTTTGCACATACTTCAGCGGACCGCCCCCGGGGGTTTCACTCTTGTTTTCACATGGTGCAAACCGTGCTCTCAGCTGCCGGGCAGCACGTTCTCAGGGGTGGGCTGTGATGGGAGCTGGAAGATGAGACTGGATAAGATTCCTGCCACCACACTGTCACATCAGAGCTTTCTTTTAAAAAAAAAAAAAAAAAAAAACCCTCCCTGTGGCTCCGTGGGAGTTTTGCCTGCGGTTTTCCGAGTAATTGCCTCGCCCCCGCCCTCTGCGAGCCGGGCTGTGGCAGGCGCTGCGCTGTGACTGGGGGCGGTGACCAACGTCTGCCAGCAGCCAGGAGGGCGGGCTGCTGGGGACGCGGGTGGGGGAGCCCCAACCTCCCTCCTCGGGCGTGATGAGAATGAATTAGGGCCCCGGGGAAGTGGGAGCCCCCGGGGAACAGTTCATGCAGGGTGCCCAGAGGAAAACCATGGTCTGTGTGGGCGCAACTTCCAAGAGCCACATACACAGGCAGATCCAGGGCTGGGGGCTGTCTTTGGAAGGGGAGCTGGAGTCTCAGCCGTGCCCTTAGAGCTGTGAGAAGCTGAGCAGATGCTCCAATCTCTCCCTACCTCTGAGGATCTGCCGCGTGTCTTATGGTGAAGACTAATAAATTAATACAGGGAAAACGTTTAGAATACCTTAAAGGGAGAAATGTTTCTTCTGCACAGAATATGTTTCTTCTGTCACAGAGTACTACTGACACCAAACATGTAGGCATTTTCCAGCTGTCTGGCAATTCTCTAATGTCCAGACAGACTGGGTATCCTACAGTTCTGTTCTGACACTAACTGCGTTGGTACAGACCCCACTGGTTGTGACCTCAGTCACGCAAGACCACCCCCCACTTGAGATGCCAGTCCCAAGTCCCAAGCTGTCACCTGTACTTCTGACTAACTGCCTATAGTTGGTGGGGGCTCTTCCAACCCTTCCTCGGGTTTGATAATGTGCTATCCTGGCTCATAGAACTCAGGGAAACTCTTATTGACATTTCCCGGGTTTTTTTTAATGTGACAAAGGATACAGATGAACAGATGAAGAGGTTCGAGGATAGCACAGGGCATGGGAAGGGGGAAAGGGTGTGTTCACCAACCTGGAAGCGCTCAGGGAGTTTTATGGAGCCTTCATCACGTGCTGGGTGCTGTGCTAAGTCACTCAGTCCTGTCCGACTCTTTGCAACCCCATGGACTGTAGCCCTCCAGGCTCCTCTGTCCAAAGGATTCTCAAGGCAAGAATACTGGAGTGGGTTACCATGCCCTCCTCTAGAGGATCTTCCCACCCCAGGGATTGAATCCGAATCTCTTATGTCTCCTGCATTGGCAGGCGGGTTCTTTTACCACTAGCACCACCTGGGAAGCTATACAGGATCAATTAATCTCCAGTCCCTTCATTACATTAATCTCTAGATGGGCAGTGGACTGAAGGTTCCAAGCTTTTATTCACGGTTGATCTCTCTGGTAACCAGCCCCCATCCAGGAGCACACCATGGAGGACTGAACTAGTGCCCTCAGCAGTGAAAGCATGGCGTCCTAACCACTGGACCTCCAGGGGATTCCCCAAAAGACTCTCATCACCCTGGCAACTCCAGGGGACTTAGGAGCTCTGTGTGAGAGACTCCTATCACCCCTCTCACTCGGGAAACCAAGAGGGTTTAGAAATTCTGTGCCGGGAACCAGGAACAAAGACCAAATAGATCTGTTATACCACAGCAGGACATCAAGGGTGCAGGCAAAGTGGCTGCTTTTATTATTCCATCAGGAGCACTCCCTGAAGTCTCTAATGAGGCCTTTGGAGACAGACCTGCAAAATCTGGGAGATGCTTATGTTCTTAGTATCCTGTTTGGAACCTAGTGAACATCTACCTCTCCATAAAGACCCAGCTCAAATGACACTTCCCCCGTGAGGCTCTTTTTTCACATTGCTCATTATTAAATGATGGCTTTATGCCAGAATCTTTGTAGAGCACTCCACATTTTATCTCATACAGGGGCAGATTCAGCTCTTGTGGGGTCTCACACTTACACAGTTTAGGAGGCCCTCATATATATATGACTATCTGATTTTGTAATACTTATAAAACAAAAATGTCCTTGTGAGTTTGAAGACAAAGTCAATGAGACAGAAGATGTAAGGGAAAGCCTAGAGTAGAAATGACTCCAAGGTCTCTGGTCTAGCTACCTAGAAAGATGGGACAGCCAAGGGGAGGAGAAGCTTTGGGGGCTGGGTTAGGATTGGGGAGTTGGGCCTATTAAGCTTGAGATGTTTCTTGAAGTCAAGTAGGCAGTTGGATGCAGGAGACGAGTCAGGGGAGAGGTCCAGGCTGAAGATGAAAAATAGAGAGTTGTTACAGTGGTTGGGTGTCAAGGGCGTAAGACTAAATGGGCCCACTAAGGGACTGCAGACAGAGAGGATGGCTAAGGTCTGACCTCAGGGGGCTTGCCTGTGTTTGGGGGGGCGGATGGAGCTGAGTAGGAACAACTAGGGAGGCTAAGAGCACCCAGGAGAAGGTGGCGTCTCCAGGAGGAGGGAGTGATCCTTGGGTCTGAAGCTGCCGGTGGGTTAGGTAGGTGAGAGCAGTGATGATTGGGTTACTGACATGAAGACCTTTGCCAATAGCAGCTTCCATGGAGTGATGGGGTTGGAAAACTGATGGGCTGATCTAAGAGGGCAGCAGAAGAGAGGAGAGGAACTGTGGACAGCAAGCATGGACTACTGTCACTGTCCTAAGGAGTTTGGGGGCGAGGGGGTGCGGACAAGAAAGAGACAAAGGCTGGTGAGGGAATTGGGGTCAAGACAAGAGTTCTGATGACGGGAAAGTGTTTCCTTGTTGGTGGGGACAATTCAATAGAAGGGGGGAAATCAGTGGTACAGGAGAGAAACGATAGAATCGGGGGAGCAGTGGGCTTGAGTCCATGAGAGGGGTTGGGATCTGGGACACACGGGAGTGTTAGTCTCAGATAGGAGCACCCGTAATGTTGGGAGAGGAGGAATGAGGTCCTAGACCCTTATACAAAATGAGAGAAGATAGGGAAGCCAAGAAGCAAGAAAAAACAAAAGAAGGCCGGGAAAGAGCCGCCCCGGGAAACAAAAAAAAAAAAAGGAAAAAGGGCCGGAATCCTCCAAGAAGGAAAAAGAGTCGTTGGAGATGGTAGCAGACTGCTATTTGGCCCCCCAAATCGACCCTTTCCTTCCATAACTGCAGAGTCTGGCTGGGTCTGTCCTTGCCCGGGGAACACCCTGTGTCTCAGCCGCCCTGGCAGCCGGAGGCAGCTACGTGACCGAGTTCTGCCAGGGGCAGGTGACAGAAGTGAAGTGTGCAAGTTCCACACCACTGACCCGGAAGGAATTTGTTTGCCTGCACCTGTACCCTCTCCCGCTGCCAGAATGTCGATTCAGCTTCAACCAGCACAGGAGGCAACACGTGAGCCACGGCTTCTCGGCTCTGCCTGTCTGGGGCCCCCTCTGGCTGTCGAGTGAAGCCTGCGGACCCTTCGCTGAATAGTGTTCTTAAATTCATGCAGTAAAATCAGAAGATTGCCAAGAAAAACAACTGCAATGAAAAATTGCAAAAACAGTATAAAAAGTTACACTCTAAGAGTAGGTACACACTTCTTATTAACACATTAACGAACAACCTAACAATGGATCCGATAGCTACCAAGCTTTCAAAGTAATAGTCCTGAGCATAAACAGTATTTCACAACAGAAATCACAGATATTTTCCTGTCACATTCAGTTGTTCCTGCCAATACTCCTGTGAGGCTTCCTGTCAGAATGGGAAGAAGTGCTACCTTTCAAGTATTCAGTGGATCTCGGTACAAATCAGGATGTAATTTTTCCCCACGCAGGCTCAGAGAGCCCCTGAGTTCTGACCAGCTGTTTGCAGATCCCAGGTTTAGGACATCAGTCTTTGGAGATGGTGGAACCCCAAGATGGAAGAAAACTGCATTTGCGAATAAACCACATGAGGCAAAGCCAGCCTGTCGGCAGGGAGTCCCCAGACTGTCCCAGGAGGAAGTATTACAATCCTGCCTCCTGTATTCTGTTGTCTTCGGGGGTGGGGGGTGGGGGTCGGGGGTCTTTTTGTTACAGCAACTTATCCTGTACCCTAACAGAGAGGCAGACAGTGACTAAACAGTTTTTAATACGCACTCACATGAGTCAGCTCATTGCCTTGCCCCAGAGCAACCTGAAACCCAGCTGAGGGCCTGAGACGCCACAGCCTGGGAACTCAGAAGGGAGCCCTTTTCATTTTGCTGCGCACCTCCCCGCGGCCCAGACGTGGGCCTCCGCACGTCCCACTGCCCCATCTGGGCCTCCGCAGAGTCCACCTGTTTCCTGCTCTCGGCCTGGACAGGCTGCGCCCCGGCTTACCCGCCCCGGCGGCTGGGGAACAAAGGAGCAGCTGCTCTTCCCCTCCCCGCCCCCCTCCCCAGCCCTGCCTCCCGGCGCGGACACACCCCGACGGACCTTGGGGCAGATCCCTGACTACGGTTCACAGGAATGTCAGCAGAGAAGCCAGGCTGGCTGGGGCCATGATCGCTGGCAGGATCGCAGGACTCCGAGAGGGTCTGAGCTGAGCGGGAGCTGCAGCCGGCAGCCGCACGAATGCCCTTAAAAAGAGAAAGGAGAGGTAAGCCAAGAAGAGAAAGTAGTGCCCGCGCCAGGAGCGTGCAGCTCTCAAGAGGTAGGCAGAGGCACTGTAGCCAACAGTCGGAACTGAGGGCTGCCACGGATGAAGCACCTACTGACCGCCAGGACTGTTCGGGGCTTCCCATGCACAGCCGCCTTTAACCCTCATAACGGGCCTCTTGAGCTGTGTGTTACCATTTTTTACAACCCTGCAGACTGAAGATCAGAGAGGTCGAGTCACCTGCCTGGGATCGCACAGCCCTCAAACTCATAAGGATTCAAACCTCCTCTTTATAACAAGGACTGGAACTAAGCGTACATAAGGGGTCTGTCTTTCATAGGAAAAAAAAAAGGAGGTGCAGACCTCAGTTCAGAAATTCCTGCTTCCTGGGAGCATGTGTGGCTTTCACAAAGAAGGCAAAGCTGGAATCTGGGGAGACTGCTCTGTGTCCTGGGATGATACCAACAGCACGTGGTAGCCACGTCAAGCTATAGGATGGTGCGTCTGTCCATCCTTGCCCTGCATGGGATAGACTGGACTGAAGCTCTGTCTTGGCAAAGAGCCGCAGAGTGGGGTGAGGGCGGGTGGGCTGTGGAATTCCCAGAGGAGGGAACAGGCTGGCTCCAGATTTTGTAGAGGCCCTGGTCTCTGGGGAAGGACAGAGCTAGAGGAGAGACCCTGGGCTGGAAGAAGAGCATGCCTTGTGGGGTCAGACAGACCCAGCCTGCCCCAGACAGGTGGCCTTGGACGAGCACCTACACAGGACAGTCACAATCCTGGCAGCATCTGTGTTGGCCCGATGGCTGAGATCACGTGGACTCTGTTACAAACACTCAGATGCCAAGGAGAGTGCTTGGCACACAGCATCCCCTAAGCAGTCACCCTGATTTCTGTCTCAGACCTCTGAGCAAAGCTGATCAGGTCATGGTGTGGCAGCCACGGTCCTGAGAAGTGGGCGAAGCCTGGGGGGCAGGGAGGAAGCTGACCCACAGGATCAGGCAGCCTGGCTCCCAGGCGTGCAACCCTCACTCCTGACACTGAGCTCTCACCTTCAGGGCAGGGCCTGCTCCAGCCAGCTGGGAGACCCGGTCAGAGAGCACAGAGGGGCCTGCTCCAGCCTGGTGCCCACTCCCCAGGACTTCTTCTCAGCACCCGAGGCTCTGCCTTGCACTTGTGTTCGAGCAGTGAAGTCTCTGGGGGTGTCTGAGCTGGGCTTCCCCCTTTATTTCTAGTTTCCCTCTACCCAGTCCACCTAAGCCTGCTCTGAACCTGCTGACCCCTCCACCTGCTCTCCCCCTCCACTGTCTGGGTCTGCCCCCAGGCCAAGTCCCCCAGCCCCCCTGGGCCAAGGACTCTCCCTAAGTGGGGCCCTGCTGTCCCATAGCCCAATCCGTCCTAAGGTGAGTCAGCCCAGAGCCACAAATAAGAGCAATGAAGGAATCAGGGTGGAGACCCCCAAATCTCCCCCAACCCACAGCACCCTCAGGTGGCCCTGCAGTTTGGGAACCCCAGCATCAGGATCATTCATTCATTCAATAAAACATGTGCAGAGAGCATCTTCTCTGAATTGAA